GGGGGGTGGGGGGGAGAACAGGTGTTCTGGTAGTTGGACGAGCAGAAAAGTGATGAATTCGTGCATTTCGGTTGAATAGCGTGAAAGGGTATAGGGACAGAGGTTGTTACTAATGTGGTAGTTATCACTTGAGCGTGCAAACCGTAATGGAATAACCGCGGGTGTTGAAAGGGCAGTTGGTTTGAGTCTGTTTCTAGACTTGTGTGTATTTTGTGTAAAATCCAGTCCTAGAGCAATTGGGTTTTCATTACACTTTAGAATGCGTAGACTGGATGTACATAATACTAGACAATGGACAGCGGATGATGAATGGAACTTGTTTGGGCCATTCACTTCACACGCTCAGCATCTCACACACGTGTGTTCGGTTTGCCTAAACATCTCCGACATTGCACATAATCAAGTTGATATGGAAAAATATTTCACTTTAGAGAAGAACAGATTGAGAACTCCAGAAATGTGAGCACCTCAGAAGACGGAAAAATGTCGGAGAATCCCTATTAGGGCCTAGGAACAAGTTTTTAAGAAATCATTTGTGATATTGCACAAATGCACGGTTTTATGTATTGCAAAGTGAATGTGGATTTTTGGAGCATAGAAAGCATTCGGTGAATGTTTATTCATCTGATTTGATTGTTCATGTGAGCATACGGCGGTGAGTTGTAGTCGTTCAAACCTCTCGCACGAGGGATTCGCGCTCGCGATCTCTCTCTCGTTCGCGACGCTCCTTACGACGGGATTTGGCCGAAGAACTGCGCTCCTCCACAATCACAGTACGAATTTCCCGTCCACTAGCTTGAGCTAGAATCCATTGTTCCATATTTGAGTTCAGCATGGCCACCTGAAAACACGAAAATAGTGTTGCACAACAATTCACAAAGGCTCATTCAGATGTAGAGAATGCAGCACCAGGAGAATTTAATGAATTACGAACTAACAACATTATCGGTTGCAAAATATTGCTCAGTACGTGTGCAGCATTGTGTGTGCATTGATAGTGGATTACCAATAACATGACAAACCGTTTTTAAGCATAATCTACCTGGTAATTTCAAGTGGTTTATTATCAAGAGTAGTACAATGCGAGATAGCAGTCGGAGAAACCTAGTCGATCTTTCTTGATATCTCTGTCAAGCAACTAGGATTCAGTCCATTTTAGATTCTATCTCATACTGTTGAAACACCGGAAGACACTGGCATGACGTAAAATTATAATCGAAATTGCATTCGGCGAAATCAGATGAATTAAACTTGAGTCTGAACTAACCAATAATGGGATATCAATTTGAATGGATTAAGTCGAGGCAAACCTACATCAATTTATTTGGTGCATTTACTCACTAGAACAAAGGCATTTAATTTTAGTGGCTTGATCAACTATTCCCATTTTGCGAGCATGCTCATTTATAAACTAAAAAGAGGGTTCTAATAAGGGCTGGAATCTTTTAGAGTTGCTTAATGGTTAGCATTCACTCTTAGAAATGTTTGACAGTACATATCTAGGACCACGACATAGGTGTGTCTGACCGTTGCGGGCTGGCTGCGGCCACCGGTTTCACCTTAATATCGCACAATGTAATAGAAACCATCCAATTCCGCCTTCGAAAGTAAGGAAATCATTCAAACAAAGGACTACCGCTTGATGCACATACTCCTAGTACTGCTCTAATCTGAACGAGAAAGAATGTGGAACAGATGCGTCATTACAATCGCGGTGGATGGGTGATAAGGATGATTGCTGAGAAGCATAAGACATCTGTATACTGCTGGCAAGTCTTTTAATTAGTGCGCGTGACAAGCTAAAAGTATGCGGTAGATCACTTTCTAAAATTGTAGCTCTGAATGCCCGCACATCATCAGCAGTGGATGGATGAATGGCTGTGTCTTGTGTGGTGTTGGTCGTGTAACACCGAGTGTTCTTACGAATTGTTTTGAGGGCATAGGGGGTTATGTAGGCGGATTCCGATCGCTTCCGCTGCGGCCAGAATGCGACTCCTAATCCCCCTAGATCGACGGTTGCGCACTAAGTAGAGAGGTCGAAGCGCCTCGACCGCATTAAACACGTGGTTTGATTCCACTAGGTGTGAAACGATCGACTGATAGTCCTAATCATCCAACTATCCAGCCAGGTCGGGTGGTGCTGATGGGCGCGTTCAGATAAACGGCTGCTCGTGCGGCCAATAAAAAGTGCCCCACAGGAACAGGTGAATAAGTACACACAGAAAGAGACGGCAGAGACAGATGATTTGTCTTTGAATTGAAAGTATAAAAGTATCCTGGAAATGAGTATAATGCGCAGTTTGGCTGAGGGGAAGGCTTTCTCCAAAACCGTACTCAATTTACGTGTTACAATCTCAGCAGTTTTGTCGCACTTAAAAGGTAGTGAAACGTAACCCGGGTTTTCAGCAGTATTGTTCTTATTCGGTAACCGGTGACGATCCAAATATTTTTCAAAAAGTTGCCCTGGGTATCCATTTTAAAGGAAAACGTTTCGAATAAACCTCAGTTCTGTCTCAATGGTATAGTCTGTACATATTCTCCGCTTCCTGGTCGCGAGGCACTGAATCAGGTTTCTTTTCCCTTCCAAAGGCACATAACTTTCAAAATGGAAATACTGGTTGTTCCACGATGGCTTCCTGTGGATGGCGCATTGGATAGTTCCGTCCCATAGAAAACTTATTAGAAGGTCCAGAAATGCGATCTGCTCATTTTCTTCGTTCTCTAGAGTAAACTTAATGTTTGGGTGAACTGAATTAAACACTTTTAAGCCTGTTGACAGATGCACACTGTCAGTGACAAAGCACAAAATGTCATTCACATGGAGCTTATAAAATGTGCAACGATCGATTGTTCGTTTAAGGATGTTATTCTTATGCGTAACCATGAAGATATTTTTCGAAAATTGGAACCAGGGAAGACCCCATTTCTGCCCCATCTATTTGACGATAAACTTCTTCGTTGAATTTAAATTGTATGTTTTGTGTGCACAAGCATGATAATTGCTTGAGATCACAAACTGGTATTCCGATTTCCAAATTATTGCTTTGTATGAGGTCACATATGTATCCAATAGTTTAGGTAGTAGGAACGTTTGTGAAGAGGGAACTGACGTCAAGGGATATCATGCATAATCCATTTACGCTTGTATCGTTAATCCTAGTCACCAAGTCATAGGAATCCTTCAATATGTAATTGACGTGTTGTACTCTCACGGGTTCTAGGATCACTGCCAGCCACTTAGCCATGGCGTGGTAAGGGGATTTACATATGTTTAGGACCGATCGAAGGGGCACTCCATCTTTGTATATCTTTGGTGGGCGTAGAGTCTCGAGATCATCGTTCTAATTGGTGTGAGTTGTTCAAATGTGGCAGTGTCTGTTATTTCCCTCTATTTTAGACACGGGAAGATTTGCGACTAACTTTTCTTTTTTTTCTGTTTTATCTCTCTCCTCAGCTATTTTCTGGAATTTTTGGGGTCGCTGAGTATGCTGTCCATCTTGCTGATGTAGTCTGATCTATTTAAAGGGACCATTCCAGTGAGGTGATTAGGACTATCAGTCGATCGTTTCACACCTAGTGGAATCAAACCACGTGTTTAATGCGGTCGAGGCGCTTCGACCTCTCTACTTAGTGCGCAACCGTCGATCTAGGGGGATTAGGAGTCGCATTCTGGCCGCAGCGGAAGCGATCGGAATCCGCCTACATAACCCCCTATGCTCTCAAAACAATTCGTAAGAACACTCGGTGTTACACGACCAACACCACACAAGACACAGCCATTCATCCATCCATTGCTGATGATGTGCGCATGTGTGATGACCGAATTGTGAGCGAATTCCGTCATGGAACTGGAGTGTTGATTATTTCTTTACCGATTTGGCACGATTTCCCTCCTCTACTGAACAGTTTGTATCAGCTCTGAATGTCTCAAAGAAATTGTTCCCCCATCATAAAGACTAAAATGGTAATGTTTTATAAAATTTCATTTTCTATTGTTTTTACAGCATTTTTCAGTCCGTACGGATACTATTTTCTCGGTCTCGAATTGGTGACGGAACTATTCTTGTATTGTCTACAAATATTTTATTACGTGCAGAAGAATGTTGAAAATGTATTGTTGGCTGTCTTTCCTGGGTTTATACGAACAAATGTTTTACACAGAATCACTTGCCCAAGGAGCTCAGTATAGCTATACGAAATAACTGTACGCGTTTTAGGTACATATGTATCTGCGTAAGGGTAGTATTGTAGAGAATCATTCCACAAATCTCCGTTTCTGAGCTAAATGCGCACAATTTATCGTAAATAATGCTTTTGACTTTCCGTTTTCAAGTAATTTGCATCGCTTTTCAAACTTCATGAGAGCTTTTTCCGTATGTATTCAGTTACGACCAAGAACATGTGGTTAGAGTGATGGAAAGTAATCTAAATCGCATATAGCTTCACGTGAATTTTTGTGTAAATCAGATCCTCCTGGTTAATTCGAACATTGTGCATTGTCACAGAAAGGCATGTAGCTGAAATCGGGGTTGAGCATGCTTACCTGTTCTTGCATTTGCGAGACAGCTTTCACAATGCTGGATAAGGCCTTCTGGTTTTCGCCAATTAATTGCCTCACGTGCATAATTTCTTCTTTGATCCTCGCATTACCGGATGCGTAATTGAGCTGATCAGATTGAGCCTGAAGGGGAAACAGATGTGCACGCATGGGTAAAAGTTCTCAATCCAATTACTACACACAGTATCCGCCCCATATTTATTATCTTTCCTAAGGGTATTTGGAGTCCTGCGATCATCAAAGAAATATAACAAAACATCGAAACTCCTTCGGCCAAATTTGATGAGAAACTGAACCTCCAATGAACGAGAAAATAAGGATTATTTGTAAAATTTTGATCTGTAGTGGCGAAAGTCAAATAAGTTTCAAGGGTTGCAATCTCTCAATTACCCCCCCCCCCAATTTACATCATGTTTTCGCACTGGCAACGGCCCACGCATTTTTATAATTCGCTGTACCGAATCTCACTGTACTCCGGTCGTATAAACTCACAGACATAGGCTGTAATCCATGTAGACAATGCGTATGCATTAAAATATGCTTAACTTCAAATCGACGGTAAAACCGACATTTCTGTTTATCGATCTCGTTCGTATGATATGATGTGCTTTTAGAACATACATTTACGCATAATGGCAAAAAGTGGCTGTTGGTAACTCTGTCTTTGCAATGCTATTCACGTTAGTAATATCATCGTGAAACGTTTTAGATAAGTTATTTGTTCAAATAATAAACGGAGCATTTTTATCCAAACAGAGGTCATGGGTGAGCATGTTTTCGTTGATTTAATTCTCAAGCCGTAACAATCCCACTGACTATGTTGTTTGGCAGACTGTAGTCTTATGGTTGAATTGTCAAGTACTCGTTGGATTCGAACCCACGTATAGACACCTGCACTTCTGTACAGCACAAGTTTTACCAGCCGAGCTACGAGGTCACATCGACAGTACTGTAGAGTCCACCAGGTAGCATGTATTCTGAGTTCCACATCGGATCTTCCCTAGAACCCATCGGAATCCGCTAAGTGAACTTCAAGGACCTCCGTAAGTTTCATGGTTAATCCCAATGCGAAAGAAATAATGCCATGGATGTGACCTCGTAGCTCTACCGGTACAGCATGCGTGTAGGATCTGTCCATGCGTGAGTTCCAATACCACTATGGTTACTGAACTTTTCTCAATTCAAACAAAAAATAACAATTATATGAGAAAAAAATTCGAGGATGATCTGGTGGTGGGTTTGAATAGTCGAGGTTAATTAATGCTAGCAAAGCTGAGGTGGAGGAAGAAGTTCTCATATTAGGTTGCAAGTGGATTACGTATTAGTTGACAAAGGATTCAGGTGATCACTCCGCTCATACGTTATGTTTTCCGATTTCGGCCAAGTGAGTTTGAGTGCCTGATTAGGGCTTTTTGCTCACTTCAAATCAGTGGGCAAAATTTCGAAAAACATTGCAGCAACACTATATACAGTCATATACATCATATCGATCGCTACAATAGATACAGGGAGGGTATTTTATGCTTCCAAGGAAAACTTTAAATTAAGTGATATTTTGTACAATTTTAGTAAAGTACACTCAGATATATGATTCCCAGGTGAGAGGGAAGAAAACGATCAATTACCATTCCTTGGTTTAAATTTAACCAGACATCTAGATAGATCAATCGATTGGAAATTTCACCAAAATGCCACATTGAACAGGTATCACACAAGGTTTGTGCCGCTTGTCTACAGGCATTACTTTGTAGGCCGTTTTTTATTTGAAGCGAGAAAAATTCATTCTAAAGATACAATGGAAGCCAATTATCAGTAGTGGAGAATATTCTTAGAAAACTGCTTCTCAGAAACGTTGAGTAATCCCTATAAGTATGAAGAAACGAAACCTTTACTGAGAGCTCCAATAGGGATGAAGACTATTTATCACACTACCGTTCAAATGAGATCCACTGAAGTCCTAGATATTGCAGTTAAGACAAAGTTCAATCCAGCCAAACTCTTATGCTTGTTCTCGACATTACCGTACATCCGGTTTATTACCACGTCTAACCAAGCGGGACCTTATGTGGTTCTCCACTCCAAGACCAGGGGATAAGTTTGCCAGTTTCCATGATTGAACCTCAGGTTCTAGCTACTACGCTGTTTACCGTTCATCACACAAGTGTCTAATAAAAACAACTTAACAGGTCGGATATAAAATGCTAGCGACATTGGGGCAATTATCATGAGCTCATGAAAGCCATACTTGTGTGCATAAACAACACTAGTTCAGGAAGCCAATCTTCCTTGGTAGAAAGTAAACCATATCGCTTATGAGTGGAGGGGTAACCAGAATCAATTGTCAACAATCACGTAACCCGCTTGCTAGCATTAGCTATCCTCAACTGTTTGAGCTCACCACATCATTCTCTCATTATTTTCTTGCATAAATATGATGGTAACGGCTTGAGTATGAAATCGCAGAAAACATGTGTTCACCTACCATTAGTTTTCATAAACGAATTGACCCTGGTTTCATTGAATGCTTCGGATTAAAAAAGAATAGACTTTACCTGAAGATTTTGCAATCTCATATCCAATATCTTTTGTGTGCGTTGAATGCCATCTAGTTGGGGCAGTTGAAGGCTAAGTCCCGGTCCGCAACCCCCGAATGCACCAGCAAATGTGCCGAGAGGCAGTCCGTGTCCGGCCGTTGTCGAGTAGCGTCTACTTGAGGCGTAAGTCAATCGTTTTGATTTTCGTGACCCAGAGGAAGCGGCTGGACCGTTTTGTGTACCACCGGTCCCACCAGCCCCGGGTGCTCCTCCCGTACTAGTGAATTGCTCGGAAGATAAAAGTCCTCCACCAGGAGGTGGAACGGGAGGCGGCACATCCTCAGCATCTGAAACGCATTCATAATGGGACAATGGGTACAGTGCGAATATGTATTATTTTTCAGTTAAATTTGGAGAAACTTATAATCTCGTTCTTTGATCGCATTTCTCGTAAAGTTACAGGTAGTCTAATGAGTTCTGATCCGGTTGTGAAAATATCCCTTTGAACTCAGTGACAATTTATGTAGACGTGAAAGCAATCCAAATAAACCATCATCACAACTCCAGTGACTCAAGCAGTTCATTGTGTGATGAACACTTTAGATGTAGATTTGTCTTCCGGGCTGGTAAATGAGACCTACGAGACTGAAAAACAATGCAAGTGATCTGACCGACAAAGGCTCATCTTGCATGTATGCTTAAATAGTCAGCGGAAAACTTCTATGCAAGCGCTGCGGATGTA